GAGAAATTCTAGAAAACAACTTAAAGCAACAAAAACAAACAACACCAACATCAAATATAACAATCAGCTCCAACAAAAACCACAAAACCGACACTCAGTGAAGATAATGTTCCGTGCAACACGTCTCCGTGCGGCTGCCACTGGCTTCTTTGGGCCGCGTATCAGTTATCTCGGCGTGGGCGCGCTGGATATGGCACTCGGAAAAGTCTCCACGTACGGTTTCAAGAAGCCGCTGCTCGTCTCTGATGCTGGTATCGCAAAGTCCGGCATTCTCGACAAAGTCTCAACAACGCTCAAGTCGAAGTGCCGCATGAATCCCGTTGTTTTCACTGATGTGCACCCGAACCCCACGTCACACAATGTGGAGGCGGGACTCGCGCTGCTGAACAGCTCGGGATGCGATTCCATCTTTTCTCTTGGCGGCGGTTCACCGCAGGATTGCGCGAAGGCCATCGCACTCGTCAAGACAAACGGCGGTACCATACACAAGTACGAGGGACTTGACAGAGCTACAAAGGACCAGTTTCCTGTTATTGCCATCAATACAACAGCAGGTACGGCAAGCGAGTTGACGCGGTTTGCTGTGATTACAGATGAGAAACGTCACACAAAGATGGTAATCGCAACAGACGCCATCACACCTCTTGTGGCCATCAATGACGCCGAATTGATGGTTGGTCAACCGCCCGCTCTTACTGCTGCTACCGGCATGGATGCCCTTACACACGCTGTTGAGGCGTATGTTGCCACTGGTGCAAGTCCTGTAACGGATGCCTGCGCACTGCAGGCCATACAGCTCATCAAACAGCATCTCAAGAATGCCGTTGACAACGGTAAAGATCTTGTGGCTCGTGAGGGTATGTGCTACGCAGAATATCTTGCAGGGATGGCATTCAACAGTGCTGGCCTCGGTTACGTGCATGCGATGGCACACCAACTGGGTGGATTTTATGACCTCCCTCATGGTGTTTGCAACGCCATTCTTCTTCCCTACGTTCAAACGTATAACTCTTCTGTCTGTGCACACCGGTTGCGTGATGTGGCCACACGCCTTGGTGTAATCACAGCCGGTGTTGACGATAAGGAGGCCGCTGCCGCTGCAGTCGCCGCGATTCGTCACTTATCGAAGGCAGTTGGTATTCCACGTGGTTTCAAAGAACTCGGTATGCGAGAGGAGGACATCCCAATGCTGGCGGACGCCGCACTGAAGGACGTCTGTGCCGCCACTAACCCACGACAGGGAAGTAAGGCAGACGTCATGGCGATTTACCGAGAATCAATGTAAGCCTGACCATTTGTTTTTGTGCACCAAACACTAAACGAAAAAATAAAAAGATTACCTTTCTATCCGAAGAAAAGGAAAACAAAAAAAAGAAAAGACAGTGTTTAAAAGTAAAACGATGTAATGACAAAATTGACACTTAAAAAACAAAGAAACAAAGCGGCAACGGATGTGTATGATCTCTACGTCTTTACCTGTCAACACAGACCTGATGTCGCGATGTTCCCCTTCTTTTTCTTTTGCTTCGGTTTTTTCTTTTGTTTCTTTGCCTTCCTCTGTTTACTTCCCTTCTTAATGAACAGGGATATTTATATACAAGCGCATACAAATGTATGTGTGATTTTTTATTTGTTTGTTTTTCCTTTTATTATTATTATTATTATTATTATTATTATGCCTTATCAATTGTTTGGTAATTAAAAAAAAAAGTGAGAATGCAATCGTTTTTTTTTTTGTGTGTTGATGATGTTTAGATGTCCGAATTTTTTTTTTTTTTGATTGATTTTGTGCTTTCCTACAGAGAGTGAAAGAAGGGTACGGTAATTGGGAAACTTGACGGAAGTAGAGATAAAATGTCTTAAAAAGTTTCTGTGCGATCTGGTTATTGGTGTTTGTTTTTCTGTTAATTTACGCGTTCTTTTTTTTTTTTGTACCACTGCGATTGATTGTATTTGGAGTCGTATTTGTTGTTTATTTTTTTTTTCCCTTTTTTTTACGTGTCTTGTTCTTTTTGATTTTTTTCTTTTTTTATTATTATTTTATTTTGTGAATAAAACAAATACTGATACTATATATATTTTTTTATTTAGTGGGTGCAGTACAGCAAGACTGAATCTGTTCAGGATTCATGAATTCTGTTGCATCAGTAGGTGATTTGATACCGCAGCCGTGCACATCCTCTGTGTTGTCCGTGTCTTCGTACACGGCAGTGCCTGGTAGCACGGCTACTTCCCGTTCCCGGGCCCTTAATGTGCAACACAAAAGGGAGATGGCGAAGGCTACTGTAAAGGATGTGGATGTTGTTCACCAAGGTCTTAAGCGCCTGGAAACTCGCATGCATGAGTTGGAATCACGCGTACAGTACGTAAACCCATGGGTAGTACAACATATGTGGGAGTTACTCTGCGATTTACGTGAGAGGGTTGGAGTGCACTTCAACATGCAGCGAGAGCGAGCGTGGATAGAAGAGATGCAGAACAGTCGGCATCAACGTGGTAAGGCTCAACCGACCACAGAACCGAAGGTAACCACTTCATCTCAACGTGGGACAGTAGACACATCTTCTGCTATCAGAGCAGGAGGTCTAATGTCGGCTCCTGTTACTCCTGTGCGTCTCTTTGATAGAAGTGGAGGTGAGGTAAATGAAGTCGACACCTCTGTTTCTTCTGAAAGTGATAATGAAGATGATAATAATGATAATAAGAATAAAGATCATAATGAATTATATGAAGTTTCAGGTAGTGGGGATATGTCTGAATTTGACGCCAGAAGTAATAGAATTCAGGGAAAGGATAGAGATGGAATCTCGAATAAGGTAGATGCTAAAGCTAAAGATCGTTTGAAATATAGACGTCAGCTACAGCGATATGTGGAGATAATAGAAGAACGGTGGGAAGGTTACCGTATCGTCCAAGATGAATCTACTGCTAGAATGGAACTTGTTCTAGAAGAAAGTACTTATCGAAATCTTCTTTTTTCACGCTTAGTATCAACCCTGACAACTATGGTGAGTCATGGTAAAAATTACGTCTCATCGTCTGAATCTGATTATCTTGAGATGGGTAGTAATAGGGTACATCAAGATGCGATGCAGCAACAGATAGAACCCCACTATAGAATTAGTAACAAGAACAGTAGAAGTAAACGTGATTGTGTACGAAGGAAACGTGGTGATATTGATTTTCCATCCCCTCCGCGTACTGAACTTCCCAGTGGAATTTCACCAATTCAAGTTAAAGGAAGCCCCTCAGAGTTTTTTTCACCACAAACTGGAAATGTTGATCGTAATTCCTTACATGAAGGAATTAGACAGGAAATACGAAATATTGAAGAAACAGATGAATATAGTGATACTATTCAGGATGGTATACAAAGAAGACACGCTTACAGAGGTGATGATAGTATAAAAATTGTTGTTAGTTCACTTCTTGGTGATGATAAATTTATGCAGCAAATTGTAGATGAGGTTTCACGTCGTCTCGCTGCGTTAATTCAAAATAGTGAAATAACAATTTATAATGATAGCTCACCTTCCCAATCCCTTCCATCTGCTCTTCTTTTAGTTGTACGGGATGCTGTAAAATCTATTGCTGGAGCGCATGACGAAGAATTTTCTCGTCAGTTGCACGATTATCTTACTGAGCAACAGAGGGTACGTGAAACACGAGAGGAAGAACTCTGGCAACGTATAATGGGACATATAACTACTTGGGAACGACAAAGTACAGCTGCACGTAAGGAAGGTGAAGAAATGCTCCAGCAACAACAACAGTTTGTTGCACGTGGAAAAGAGGATGCCGAATTATGTGCTGAAGTGCGTGGAGAACTGTTAAAACTTTGTGGAGAGGTTATGCGCACGGTGGAGCATATGCATGAAGTTTCTCCTGTTGTAACTTCTCCCGCTGCACATGTGAGTAATCGCGAAGGTGTCTCTACGGTGGGTCATGACAGGGATGACCGACAGAACCGAATGGAATTGCGTCTGGAGACTCTCTCCGCTGCTGTAAACGGTCTTTACGCGGAGGTGGAGGCGGTGCGTCGGCGACCGGCCACTCCCCATCCCTCGCCCGCGGTGGAGTTGAGGGGTCGGCAGACGGACGAGGAGCTGGCAGGCCTGCGGGTGGCCCTCGATGACGTGCGGGAGGCGGTGGCGATTGTGGCGCGGCGGTCGCGGGCCGCGGAGGAGCGCCTGCGGGGGGTCGAGCAGCGGTTGGACGAACACCCGCCCGCCGTCCCTCTCAACTCAACTCCTGATCCGCCACCGCCACCGCCGCCTCTCCCACCGCCTTCCCTCCCCATCCTCTCCAACGGCAGTGGTGGCGGTGGACAGAGCTCCGCTAATCGCATGTCCGTAGAGGAGGCTATGGTGGACACGCAGCGTGTACTTCTAGCACACAAGGCAAAAGAGACTACCGCTATAGACCCATTCGTAAAGGCCGTTACCGCACTCTGTTCTACGCTACAGCAGGTTAACCATCTGTATAATGTGGGAACTGGAACCTTTGGTGGAAGTTTGCAACTCATCTTTGCAATGCCTCCCTTTTCCCTACCTCGCACTCTGATATCGGCTTGCCAGGCATATTTACGGGAACATTCCGCAGCTGAGTTGAAGGAGTCGTTAAATGCTCTCGGTATTATTTTGGATGTCTCTGAAGTTCTCTGTGATTGCTACTACTGGATGCAGTCACATGTATTAGCGGTGGGAGGAGAATATGGAGGATTTCTACAGGTAGGAGGTACAGAGAAGTCTGGTACATCATTATCTTCACTACCATCATCAGTACCATTGCGTACTACTGTAGTGATGACGTCAGGCAACATTGTGCCATCTTCTTGCATAAATAGTGGAACCACAACAGATGCATTAAAAAAAACTCAGAAATTTCACTCAAATTGCAAGATACCACAAAACAGTAGCTGTGATATGGCGGCACAAACAGAACTTCCCACAACCACAACAAAACGGTCATCATCATCATCATCATCGTCGTCAGCATCATCATCATCTGAGGAAACTAAACCAAGTGACCATAACGCCTTAAAGTCTAACAAAAGGAAAAATAAGTATATACGGGAAGAAAAGCAAGAACGAGATGAGAAACAAATAGTTTCAGCATCTCCCACACCGTTGGAAGCATTAGCACTGTCTCACTCCCCCGATAAAGCAGTAGAGCCTGTAAGTGGCGTTGTACATCACTATCATCATCATCATAATTGTTTTTCTTGCGATGGCAATGTCCTCACAACTTCTTCACATTGCATCACAGACGAAGAAAATAAATTTACCCCGAAGTCTTGTGCTACTCATACTACAGGATTACAGTCAAATGGAGAGGATCAGTGGGAATCATTGGGTGGAACGCGACAGAAACAAAAGAAGCGCAACACTGTGCAGTACATGGAACCATCACTACTTGACATGAGTGAGTCATCTGCACCACCACCTGTTCCAATGGTAAACCGCTCACATGTGTTTGGGGATAAACGAGGAATGGATGTAAATAATTCCACTAATAGTCCTGGATATCCATTGCTAAATATGGTACCAACACCATCAATGTACAATGAATGTCTTCCATTACCAACTGCTGTATCATGTTTTACGGACCCTGGTCAAGTGACACGTACCGGAGGACATAAACCCTCATCTCTTAAAAATCCACAACCTTTTTACACAGCCACTTTGCAACAGATACGCAAGTCACAACATCAGCAGAGTAATCAAACCCGTAGTAGCAGAGAGACAATGGCTGAAGAAGGTGGAAATTTAAATGGTAGACCTCAAGTAAGGGACAGTGAATCGTATGATACAATGCGTCGCTCTCCTCATTTCAGTCAAGGTAGACTTTTATCTACAACTTTAAGAAATCGTGAAGATGTTATTTCTAATGTTATGGCAGCCCAGCTGCATCACAAACCGTTTTTGTATCATGATGATAAACCTCTAGCCACGAAAAAAAGTTCTACACGTCGATAATTATTGTTATGAAAAAACGAAGGTATGCAATTTCTGCAATAAGAGTAATAAAATCTCACACCTTAGATATAGAAATCTTGGCTAAATTGATTTCCTAGAATCTCTCCTTTTTATGTTTTATTTATTTTATTTTATTTCTCTGCTTCTTTCTTCCTTGCATGCGCTTTGTTCCGGCGCTGTTTCGGTGAGGTCTCATAATACTTAGAGAAGAGACAAAGGCCATAAGGAGCAATGGAAAAGGAAGAGGGAGAGAATTAGAGAAGTATGACGTGAATAGCTGTGGTTTCTTGTTTTTTGAATTATTCACGGAGGTCAATATAGTTTTATTTTCTTATGAAGAATTATTGCTTTTTTTTTTTTCCTTTCCCGTTTGAGTGTTCATTCCCTATTTATCAATTTTTGTATTGGTATATATATATATATATATATATATATATACATATCAGGTTATTATCTTCTTTTTTTTTCTCTACAATTGTGTTCATGCTAACTTTTACCCTCAACCTCTTCCTCATCATTATCCTCCTCATTCATTTTCTTCTATCTATCCTCATGCAAACACTCACACTTCCCCCACCCCCTCTATAGAGCGACCTGATATTCTTTCTTGTATTTATTTTTGTTTGATTATCCCTTCTTTATTGGAAAGAGGGTGATTGTCTCTCTACTTGCTCCTATTGTTGCTGCCAGTTTTATAGTCCTTATGTTCAACGCACACGCCGGAGGCCGTCCGGTGGGCGCCTTTTATTGTGCCGTTTGCGATGTGCACTGCGGCGATGCACACGCGGCGGAGCGTCACCGTGCGAGTTTGCGGCACAAAAAGAACAGCGGCGAGTTTGAAGCGGAGCGGCGGGCGTACAAAGACGACGCGAGTGTGACGGCAGAAGATGTGATGGCGCTGGTGGAGCGCAAACGTTTGGAGTTGGGGGTCATACCGTGGAGTCAGCTGCGGTTTAACGATGAAGAGACGAAGAAAGAGGAGGAAGAGGAAGAAAAAAAGGAGGAAGCTGTTAAGGCTTAGTGTTTGTGTGTGTGGTGTCTCTTTTTTTTTTTTTTTCGGTTTCTATTCTTATCAGTCTCTCTATTTTTTTTTTTTGTATTGCATTTGTTATTGTTAATTATATAATTTGTGAAATGTATTTGATGTGTGCTTCTTTGTGTACTATGTCTTTAGTTTTCCTTATTCTTTTTTTTTTTTGTCTTTGTAAATACACATATTCCCCTCCTCCTACCAAATAAATAATAATTAGGTGGTCAGAGGAAGTGCAGAGGTGTGGATCGCTTTCTGGCGCACACACACACACACACACACACACACACACACAAGCACAGACACACTCGTATATATACAGACCGCCATGTCTCTTTCATCGATGGAACAGACATGGAAACATGCGGTAGACGTTCTCGAACAAATTGTAGCGAATGAAGATTTACATGCCGCTTCCCATGGAATGCCATACACCCCTAACAGCGATGGGAACGATGTGGAAACAACGGAGTCACTGGCACTCTCATCACTTGAAAAATCTTTGGTATCGCACTGTAGATCATTGCTTGAACAGGCATATATAGTGAGACAACAGCTGGGTGCAGGGAACTCTTCTGAAGAAGTGCACAACACTTCCTCTATGCCGCAATTTTTGGATTTTGCATTATTTTTTCGTAAGTCTCGCATGTTGCGTGAGAGAGCACGACGTGTGGGTGTTACACTTACGAGTATTAAACATGTTGGATTGTTGGATGAAGAGTCTCTTGGGCGACGCATCATCACTGATCGTGCTTTAACAGCTGTAAAGGAACTTTTAGATCTTCTTATAGCTGTATCTACCACACTTGCTGGAACACCATTTTTGACTAAAGTTAACTCCTATAATCAGCGTCAAGGAACAACAACAACAACAACAACAGGTACTACTACTAGTACAGGTACTACAGCAGATCCTTTGCAACCGTGTACCAGTCGCTCAAGTTCCCAAGTGACACAATGTCATCATCCTATAGTAGTTAATCATGAAACTGAGGAAGTAGTTCCAGACGGGAATCATCTACATTCACCTGTAGAGTATATGCATGGAACGACAAATGCGGGTCTTTCTGTGCATGAAAACATTCCTTCACAGGGTTTAATACAAAATCGAAGAAACTCCAATGAAAGGAGGTTTATCGACAGTAAAGAGATAAGTATGCATGAAGGAAAAAAAAAAGAAGAACATATTTTACAACCCTTAAGGCTCGATTATACACCATCACCAGTAGTAGTTCCACGTGTTACAGCACCACCTGAATCAGACAGGAATTCTACTAGAACATCTAGTGAATCACATTCACCAGAAACGTTATTTTCTCATACTAATACAAGCAAGTTGACAACATCATCACATGTTGATAAAGGTACAGTAGAACACGCAGATTCACTGGCAACAATAGCAAAAGCCTACTCTATTTCATTAGATCAGTTATGTGCTGCCAATACCCATCTTTTAGCTTATAAATACACTCCTTTACCACCCAATACACCTTTGCGAATTCCACATAAAAAAAATAATGGAAGTCCCTCTCGTGATGTACTAGTGTCAACTCGTGTGACAACGCATACTCGAGTGTTTAGCGGATATCCCTGGTATGAGTTGTTTCAAGAGAGAGAAAATGATGATTCTACTGCTAATCCTTTATGGAAGGATACTTTTTTATCAGAGCTGGGAAATTTGTTTAAAATACCCAATGAATGGGTAACGAACGTACATGTTGTAAATGATGAAGTAGATGGAATAACTGATAATGATAAAATGATAAGTTTTGATCTACGTCTTCCTCTTTCATTTGGATATGAAGAAGTAGAGAAAAAAATACAAGAACACAACTTTACTGAGCTGATCCTACTATACGAAAAACTGCAGGGAGAAAATAATGCAGAGACAGCTTCAAGTATTACGTCTATATTAGATTCTGAAGATAATTTTGAGACACCACATGACTTTGATAAAACAGTACCACCATGTGCTAATGCTGATAGTCTCTTAAAAGGTAAGAACAAAAATAAGAAAAAAAACAACAACGAGAAGAAAAACGAAAAAGAAAAGAGTAATAAGGATAATGATATGACTCCTTTAGGAGTATTTGTCTCGTCATCGGGTATAGAAACAACCTATCATGACGTAAAGCATGATAAAAATCAAAAAGAGAAAAATATTTTAATGCCAGTATCTACACAAAATGAAGAGATAGTAGAACAAAAACAAATAAAAAATTTTACATATCTTGGGGATTCGCATACTAAATATTCTCATGTAAGAGAAAAACAAGAGAAGGAATGTCCTCTTTATAATGATGACATGCAAGAAGAGAAGGAAGAAGAAATGGTTTCTGGTTCTCCTACCATTGAATACAATGATGTACTGTTATTTTCTCCATATTCTGGGAATTCTACACAAGAACCAGACCATTCCCCACATGTAACATTTACTGATGAAAATGGTCATTTTTCACCATCAATATTGCCAAGAGCACCTAGTATCAATGATAAAATGGGTAATGCTTATAATATTTCTCCACTCTGTGGGCGTCCACCAATTGCCCCAACACGTATGGGTTCTTCTAGCCCACAAAGGGTAAAGGAAGAGCCTGTTGTATTATGGTTTTCAACAACACATGAAAAAATAATTCGAGGAGAAAAATGGGAAGAAGTACTCGCATTATGTGAAGAGGAAGTACGAGAAACATTTCTTACAGAAGTTGCCGTTCTCTTTGATCTCCCTGAAGAAAATGTTAAGAATATTTACTTTACCCTAGGTAGCTTACATGTTACCTTTGATTTGTTGCATGATCGTTATTTACACGAATCAGAGATCAACACCCTTCTTGCAGTCTTTGACTTTCCAAAGGTACGTGGAGTGTACCGGCGTTGCGTGGAGAACGCACCTACAAACACTAAAACTCAAACGATGGACTCCCACTTCACACATGCCTGTGAACCACAACAGGAGCAACCAGAACAACGGTGTGATGATATGAAGACGCCAAATAACGAACCCTCTACGAAGGCGCACTTTAATGACATTACGGCGAAAGATCTCCTTCCACGTAATATGGTCAACAAAGAGAAACCTGTAGTTAATATGAATAATGGCAATCACAACACAACTCAACAGACGCCAAGCACAACACTTGCGGGTGTGGCACAGCGGCTTGGTGTAAGTGTGCAGGCACTGCGAAAGTGCAATACACATCTTGACACCTTCAGTGATACCGCAGAACTCCCAAATAACTGTAATGTGAATATCCCCGCATCATTTTTCGCTGCACCAGAAACTACCAGTGACCATTTTTCTCATCGTAGTAGTCCTCGCTCGCCGACTGCACCTGCACCTGCACCTGTAACAAAACGAGACTCATCCTCTGCTGCGGCAATCACCGTCACAACACGCGGCGGGGATAAGGAAAATACAGAACTCACGATTACCCCTAAAAAAGAGTTTACACAATCTCCTGAGTCATCTGCTGTAGAGTGCGATCCCGAACCGAGAAAAACTGGGCCACCCGTACAAACTCAAAAAGTACTACACAATTCAAAGTTGCATTCGGAACTCAATAAACACGTTGACAGGAAAGATGTACCGTTTGAGGAGAAGTCGTTATTAACGTCTCTGCCAGAGTCTCATACGTCAACAACTTCCACACGTGATGATACTGTACAAACAGTTTTAGGATGTAACGATATAGATGCACAATCTATTGGTAAAACTTTAAATCTAAGTCTTGAACATCCTTCTTCTACAGCACCAGACGGAATATCATATCGAGAACACATGGTGACTTTGATGGCACGAACTACTACACAGTTTTTTCTTCTTCGTTTTTTTGCAAAATGGCAGTACATTGCTCGAATACGGAAGGAGAAAAAAAGAACTGGATTACCACTCCATCCGTCCCGTAAAATTAATAATGAGATGAAAAAATCAACTGCAACATCAGAACAATCTTCTCAAGGCACTTTATCAAGTAGGGCAAAAACAGGAGGGACACCACGTCGAACGCTTTCTCCACGTACAGGTGTTACACGTAATTCTGGTTCAAGAAGCTTAATTGCAAAGTCTATGGAAGCTATTGCTAGGACACAACCCCCAACTGCATCCCCAAGGGGAACAGCAAAGGAAAAAACAACAGTAAGTCGTTCTTCTTCTCGTATACAACGGCAAGAAAGTAATAAAGGCGCCGTTTTATCGTCTAGAGGTGCAGTACTAAGGGGTGGTACTGCTTCTAATGGCAGTACTAACTCACCTCTTAAATCGGCACGTGGTGATAAACGAATAGCTTCAAAACCGAGTACAGGACATAATGGTACTCCACGTATTAGTTTTAGTCGTGCCAGTAGTAATCATTCTATGTCACGAGCATCATCTATTGATCGAAAACCGAAATCTAGAGATGTCTCTGAAACTTCTTTACGACTTCCTGTTGGATTTCGTGTTTCGTGTTCATTAGTTGTATTAGAAGTTTACAAAGAGGCATCAGAATCTGGAATACAGTGTGGTGATAAGATACAGGAAATTGGGGGAATTCGTGTACGAACTGTGAGACAGGTTCGCGATGCGTTAAACTCAGTTGTTACCCCAAAAATAGTCTTTAAAATTATAAAGAAGAGTAATGGTACACCAATGTTATTATCTCTTTCTAGAACTGAGACGGCTGGAACGGGTACACCAAGCTCATTGTCACCAAAGAAATCTTTATCAGATGCAAAGATAGTACCTATGCTTAGTGCAGCAAGAACTGCTTCCTTGACTTCAGCCAAAGTACGAGGAGGCAACTCTGCTTCGTCCCTTCCACAACAACGACAAGAAGAAGAACAACATTGGATGAAAGTCTCCTCTGTATCGCTTTCTCGTGGACCCCGAGGAATTTACGAACCACATAAGGAACAGCAACAGCAAAGTTAAAAGTGATTAACACTTCAATCATTTGTAGATGAAATAGAGTCTTGCTTTATGTGAACCCCGTTAGTAACTAGGTAACGTGGTTTTTAATTATTAATTATTATTGTTGATCTCAGTGGGAGTTTTAGAGATTCATATGATCCCTGTTTGTGTTATTCTAATAGATCTGGTTCTTCCTTTATACTCCTTTTGTGAATGTGTGATTCACTAGTTTTGTTAATTTTCCGTGTAAGTATACACAAACAACAACAACAAAAAAGACGAATTAGAAATGGTTCAACATACTATTGGTTTATGTATGTCTTCCAGAAGCCTCTTTGTATCTCGCTACTTCTTTTTTTTTCTGTATCTCTCTCTCTCTGTCTTTCACTTCCTCTCTTTTTATTTAGAAACTCATGAGAGAGGGATTTAAAATATAAAAATAAAAGAAAAAAAAAAAGAGAGCGAAATCAGGAAGAAGAAAAATTAGGGAAGGAAAAAAGGTTTGTGGTAAAAGTAATAATCTCTTTCTCTGTACGTATGAGACTGTATCCCTCTCTATCTTTCTATTCCTATCTCTATGCGTGTGTATGAGTTTGTGTCCGTGCCTATCTTTATAGTCTAATGGAAGACAATAAAATAATAGGAAAAAATATCGGTGTGAAAAGTGAAAAAAAAGTGAGATTTTTTATTTTATTTGTGTTCTATCCATTTGTTCTTTTTCCTTCGATTCCTGTTTATATATATATATATATATATTCTTTCTGATTCTTTGTTGCCGTCTCTCTCATTTACGTTTAACTGATGAACCTCTTATTTTTCTTTTCTCTTCATTTTTTTTTTCTATTTTGGTTAAATATCGTTACTTCATCGCTTTGGAAGGAGTAAAAGGAGGAGGATTCCCTTTTTTTTTTTTCGCCACTCTGAGAAACAGGTGTGGCAAACAATCCCCTCTATAGGTTAAGCACGTAATAAACACTAAACCTAAGTGGAGGAAACTAAAAAAAAAAGTAAAAAAAAAAATAACATAAGAAAAAGAAAAAAAAAAAAAAATACAGTCTAGACATTTGCTGAAGGAGCAGGAGCAATGAGCAGTGAAAGCAATGCGATTGGACAGGAGGCGTTGGTGTATGATAAGATGTTCCGTGTGATGCGCACGGTTGGGGAGATGATGCGTGACCGGCGCTATCAAGTGGCCGACCGCGTGATTCCCTCAAGTGTGGAGGAGTTCCGCGATTGGTACACCGACCCCCGCGAGGGGACCATTCACCGCGAGCGGATGACAGTCCCGTGCGAGCGGGTCGGCGGGGCGCAAAGGGGCCGCGCGATGGTTTTCTTCGCCGATGGACTCGCGATGGAGGCGATGAAGCGATACCACACACAGGCCACAGAGGCAAACTGCGATCGCGTTGTCATCGTCTCACATGGAAGAGTGAACGCCACGGTGCGGAGACATGTGGAGGACCTCAATCGTAGCAGTCTTAATCTTAAGATACAACTCTTTGATGAGGATGATCTGGTGGTAAATATCACCCATCATGAACTCGTGCCAAAGCATACACAACTGGAAGAAGAGGAAGTGAAGGAGATGTTACAGGCACATGCACTGGAAATGAGCATGCTACCACGTATTCTTTCCACAGATCCTGTTGCTGCTTACTTGGGACTGGAGCGGGGACGTGTCGTGCGTATCGAGCGTAAGAGTATGTCTGCAGGAGTGTACGTGACGTACCGACAAGTAGTGTAGAGATCTTTGAATTTACTTATGCAGAAAATACAGAGAGAAGAAAAAAAAAAAAGAGAGAGAGAGAGAGGGGATATGAGGTGAATAGAAGAATAATCATTCACTCTCTCTCTCTCTCTCTCTCTCTCTCTTACACACACACACACTCTCTCTCTGTTTCTCTGTCTTGGTTTTTTAACTCCATTTCTAGTGAGAATATGGCCGGAGATTTGTGACACTGTTTCTCCATTCACTGTGCTTTTTGTCGTTATTGTTGTTGTTGTTAATTATTATTATTATTATTAATATTATTATTATTTGCTTTTCGCTTGTTTTTTTTTTTTTTTTTCCTTCTTCTGAAACTGGGAAGGAAAGAAGAAAAAAAAAAGTATGAAAAGTAGTTGATTATTTTTCTCTCTTCGTTTCGTCTATGTTTTCTTAATTTCTCTTTTTTTTTTTTTTAACTCCTCTCCCACCATTATTATTGTTATTATTATTATATGGGTTTTTAGATCATGAGTTCCCTGGCGGAGCTGAAGGTTGTGCGCCTCTACCGCGCCTATAACACTGCCATACAGATGTGTATGGATCGCGGCTACACTGTGCGCCATCCATCCGCTGTTGCTCAAGCCATTCACGACCCAAACCTGTATGATGATGAAGATGGACTTGGCTACGACTGGTTTCTTTCTCACTTTGTGGTGCAGTCATCATCATCAGCAGACGGTGGTGGTGGGAAGAATGCTGGCGCAAATGCAAAGATAAAAGCCAATGAGGAGGAAATGCATGTAAATGGGGAAGAGAACGTGTCTGCTGAGAAGCAGTGGGTGCCAATGTACAGTGCGATGCGACTTGTTTGTAGTCCTACAGCTGCAAAAGTTTATGAGGATACAGAAGGTCAAGAAGACCCAAATGATAATAATAAAAACAATAATGAGAAGGGAAGGCCACTACTTGTCTTCTTCTCTGGATCCCCATCGCTAAGTATGAATGAAGTGCAGGAATACTGCGAAAAGGGGCTGCAGAAAAATGCACATTGTATGATTATCATCACAGGCGGTAAAATATCCCCAGCGGTTCGTCGAGCCACGCGGGAACTCAGCGGCCGACTTCGCACCGGCACGACTGAAGAAGTGATGTCTATTCAACTATTCGAGGAGGACGCACTCGCGTATAATATTGCACGGCACGAGACGGTTCCACCGCATGTGGTGCTTTCACCGGAGGAGACACGCACATTTCTGCAGAGCCGCCACTTGACACTTGCGCAACTCCCCCGCATTCTCGATGATGATCCAATGGTGGCGTACTTGGGTCTCACACGTGGTAGCGTTGTGCGGATTCTGCGGGATTCAAAGGAAAGTGGTCCCTATGATATGTACCGACAGGTCATTTAGAAAACTTTCTTTTGTTTTTTTTTTTTTCTCTCTCTCTCTCTCTCTGTGCGTGTGTGTTTCTTGAGTAAGGACAAATACAAGCAAAGGAACAAACTCAAAAGAAAAAAAAAAAGAAAGAAAACAAGGTGAAGAAGAGGTAAAAGTTGACCTCATGGTTTTTTTTTTTTTCTTTTTATTGATTTGTTTGTTTTTATTTTGCTTGTTTTGTTTATTTCTCTCTTTGTTTGTTTGTAAGGAACATATGGAAGGAAAGAAGGATGAAGTTAGACGCTTAAATGAATGACGAAACGAATTAGAATTATGTATTCTTTTTTTTTTTTTTTTTTTTTTTTGTTGTTTATACGTGAAGTGGTAGGAAGAGTGAACTTGTAGCGGTATCGTTCTTCGCCCCGTCACTTATCAAGGTCTTACTCCCAGTCTCTCTGTCTCTCCTTTACAAAGCGTGTTTGAGTGTGAAGTTCCGTCTGAGAGTGAGAGAGGGTGTAAGAATCTTTAGTATACAAGAGGGAAAAGAAGAAAAAAAAATAAACTATTTAAACATAGGTGTGGTGTATTAGTGATGTTTCGTCAGAGTATTTTTTTTCTGGCGAAGGTTTACGGTGCGGGAACTCCCATAGCTGCAGGGAGACAACAGTCTCCACATCGTCTTCTGCATGGAAAACGTGAGCGGCAGGGAAGTCTCTTTGCGATTGCCAATGATGTGAAGTCGGATGAGAAAAAACTTCGTCAACAACTTAACGCGCTGTTAGAAGAAGAACGTCTCCCATTACGTGAACGACTACAACGTAATAAAATGAACAGTGATGATGAGGCATTTCCACAACGGCGTCTTGTGGATCTCCCCGGTGTGGAGCGTCGTCGTGATTTACCCGCAGATCCCATTACACGACTCTTCTTTCAACATAAAGGGGATCATGCCCTTTACTATGGCACCTACGACTACCCTAGTCGTCAAGATGAGGATCGTGTGCAGATTGAAAAACGTGAACCACGTGAGTGGACATTTAATGTAACGACGCCAATGTATGATTTCTGCCATCGCATACGTGAGGCGGCAGATCAGCGGAAACGTTTTGTGATTGTTCCCTCCACCATTGAGACACGAGGATGTGCACGGGTAATGCATGATCATGGACTGGTTGCAGGATTTCGTGATTTTCACAATGATCGGGCTTTCGCAGTAGAATTAAAGTACTTTCAGGGTGAATCCACCATTAATGTTATTGAACCTTGTGCGTATGATGGTAAAACCGAGTTTGAGTGGAGCCCTAAAATGATGCGACGACTCTTAAATACGCATGGTATTCACAATCGTCTTGTTGTGTACATTTGTCGAACAGCTGATAATCGTATTATTGATCACATTCAAGCAGTGAAAGAACATATTGGTGGACGGGGTTTAATGATGGTGCATTAAATGAGGAACGAAATGTTTCTTTATTCTTGTTGTTGTTGCATTCAGACATTTTTTTTTTTTTTTTACGTTTCTTACACACTCACTTTATATATGTGCGTATTTTCTATACTGAAACATTTATAAATGGCTTTAACACTGTGTTGTGTAGGGTATATCTCATTTATTTATTTTTATTGTTCTCTTTTTTTCCTTCCTAATCCGAAACAAACAAACAAAAAAAAAAAAAAGGTTAGAATAAAAAATAATAATAATTAAACGAGGAAGGGGAAGAAGTAGAAAAAGAAGAAAACGAGAGCAATGAAAACTGTGGGATTGCTCCTATCGGTGTCACCAACAGAAGACTCCCCAAATATACCACCACAGCAGAGTTATATGGCCGAATATCTTCTTTCACCATTCTACGATTGGATTGTCTTGTATTACCCTAAAACGTGGACTCCTAATAAAGTAACGCTATTTGGTATCTTTTCAACACTTCTTGCATCTCTATTATTGCTAACTGGAATGCCTTCGACAACTACATTTGATCCACCATACGCCACTTATGTTCCTACATCCTTGTTGCAAAATAAAGAGATGAAATCTGAGAGAAATATTGCGCCTAGCCCATTACATCCAACTGCGTTGAAACCATTATGGAGTTCTGTTTTTCCAAGTGGTAATGTAATGTTATTTGTATGTGGAATACTTAACTTTATCTATTGTATTGCTGATAATACTGATGGTCGTCTAGCACGTAGACTAAAAAAGACTAGTGAAATTGGAGAATATCTTGATCATGGTCTAGATTGTGTTACTTCACTACTTTCAACTTGTGTTAGTATGGCTGTGATTGGTCTTTCATTCTCAAATATCGCCGTTACAGTTTTACCTATCGCTATTGGTACAGTTTTTTCACATACATTGCATTATGAAAAAAATATTTTTATTTGGGGTAACCGGTTTATCTCTGTGGATGAGGCAATGATTTTCTTTGCTATATCAAACTGGGTTATTATTGTACTTCCTCAAATTGGTACTACAACTGTATCTTCCGCTATTCTTCATATGTTTTTATCAGAGGAATGGGCCCAAATGTTGCATTCTCTCCGATACATTGATCTTGCACTACTTGTATATTGGATTTCACAATTGTCTGTTATTATAGGCATTGTGTTAAAGGATGGAAAGATGCTCTTTCGTCTCACCACCATTACACTGTTTATCAATACATTCCTGTTAGTTGGCATCATACCAGCTCACATGAATCACATGGCAACAGGCAGTGTTGGTGGCTATGCATGGGGTCCATTTTCATATGTGGCTGTTTGGTGTATCACCGCAGCCTGCACTTCCAGCACAGTTGTACACATTCTCATTTACGCCCGCTGTATGCGGCTGCCTCACGTAGATCTATGGCCAATTGCAGGTATCGTTTTTGTATGGCTTATATTTACTTCCTGTCCTGTTGGTGGCATGGTGCTATCTGTGGCTTGGCATCTTGCTCAGATCTTAATTAACGTTCAGGGTCTCATAAAAAATGGACGAAAAACATCTCAAAAATCAAAAATTGCGTGAAGAGAAAAGATGATGTAGAAAACAATGAAAAAAAAAAAAGAAAATGGAGGATTAAAGATACATAAAAATGCGTCCATACATGAATGCATGGAACCAAGCACAACTACACACATATACATATACATATACATCCACAACAACAAAAAAAAAAAAAAAAAAAGAGAAGAAACGAAACAGAGAAATAGACATGCCTGTATTGGTATTTGCTGAGTGAAAGAAATGGGGGAAAACAAAACAAAACAAAAAGAATATCAAGTGTATGTTGGAGTGGTAGGTGACTCTAAATATTAATATTAACGTTTTTTTTTTTTCCCCTCGTTGCATTTCCACTCCTCTGAGAAGGGATAGGAACCTGTGAGAATGGATATTTTTCTGTTCAAACTTCCCCTCCCCCACTCTCCCTTTCCCTCCAGTTTTCTTTATTTGTTTCTGTTTTTTTTTTTTATTTATACGCACATGCTTCTGTTAGACTGTGTATGTATCGTGTGTTTGTGTGTGTATTTGTTTACCAACAATCGCTTTTCAGAAGAAAGGAAAAAAAGGGGAAGAGAATTACGTTTAATTCTGCTTGTTTGTTGACATTTCTCTCTTGTTCATTCCACTTCAGTGGCATGTTTATCGGGTTGTAGTAATTTCATTTGTCTCTTCACTTCTCTCCGTCCTTTTTTTTTTTTTTTTTTTTTTTTTTATACCACGAAAGAATTGTGAAATTGAGTGCGTGTTTGCCTGAAAGAAAGAAAGAAGATAAAGACATAAAAGGTGCGTGTGTGTGTCTGTGTGTGAGCAAGAGAGAGAGAGAGATTGAAAGTGAGAACAAAGAAGGGAAAAGGGAAAGCAAAAAAAAAAAAGACAAAAAAAAAACAAAGAAAGAAGTAAACGAGCGAGCGTCCAGACTTTATAACACTTACAATGGATCTTCCTAACATTGTTTCGGCCTTCCAGCGCGGCTCCTCCCAACTTCCCCGTGCGGTGCGTGTTTTATTTAATTACACCAACCCGCTATCGGAACGGGAGGCGGCGCAGTTGGCGGAGTACATGCAAGAACACGAGGAGGAGGCAGAACCACAACACGAGGGGGAAATCCCTATTGACATTAAAGCGATGATGGAGCGGCCGCTTCACCGCCTCCCTGCCGTTGCGGTTGTGCAGTGTGTGTTGGGGGCTGCCAAGACGCCGAGTTTCCCTCTTGTCTACCAGCGCCGCCTGCAGCGTCAGTTGCTACACCTGGTCGCCAAGCACACACCACTCACTCTGGAGGAGTGGCGGGCGATATTTCAAAACACGGCGGCGCTGCCAATGGGATACTCCGCCACCGCCCTTCGCTGCGCAGAGGAACTGCTGAAGGCCGCAGCGCCAACCGTATTTGATGCCGCCAAGACAAAGGCGGCTGCAAATACCACACGGGAGGAAGTGCAGGTCCTTTTTGTAAAGATCTTTGCGGCTGTGGTTTCACACTATGCGACCAGACATGCGGGGTGTGGAAAACACTCAACTTTGCCCGATTCACTTGAAATTCCGAAGGGAAATGAAAATTTCTTGACGAGTGGTCCAGTGCGACGTCTACGACGTATTATGGATACATACTGTAGTCATAAAAGGGATGAATGGAATGTAGCGGTTCAGAAGTTGTCACCAGCAGAAATACTAACATGTTTTGTAACAGCTCCATGGCCTTCTCCAGTCTTAAAGGATACAGTATTGCAAGTAGTGAAAAATACACCAACTCTGTTATTTCGACTTTTAGGAAAACGTCCTGTTCCTGGATCTTTGTTGGTAGAATCACCATCTGAAGTTATACAATCTTGTATGTATAATATGGGACTTACAAACTGTTCATGGAATAGTGCCCGTGATTATCTTTCATTGTTTTTGGCTATTTCAAATGAAAACAAGACTGAATACTTTAAAAATAATGGAAAAGATGGTTTTCTGCAGTTATTAACACCTTTTGTGAATAACTCAAAAGTTTTAACATCAGCAGTGGCACAAGAGTGGCAGGAATCTTATACATTACTTTTCCTTCAATCAGGTTCAGAAGAAGAATTACTTCCTTTGTTTCTAGAAGCTGCATCCTATTTAGTATTAAATAGATGCCGAACGGCTACAGAGAAAGCAGCTATTATGACTCTTACAAGTTCTATTATACATGCCATTTCCGAGAGTTTATTATCTGTAATACCTAAAACTAATCTTGTTCGCATGATTGAAAGAGAATTGGCAAGTCCTGCTAATGAAGCTGCATTAGCTGCTTGGAAACTTCTCCAAGTAAGTGGAGTAGAAAGCGAAGTTGAAGATGAGATGCGAACAGCATTAAAAAGTTCTAAAACCAATGAAAATCTAAGACGAGCTATGCTTATACATATCTCTTCTTCTCGAGCACCAGCAGATATCATTTCAGATCTTACAGAACCTTTATTAGAAGAATGTGGTGAAGTGGAAGTTTATCGTCCAGATGCTTTTCTAGCCCTTCGACTTTGTGTACAACGACGATCAGCGGTAATACCAAAATTATGTGATATTTTGTGTCAATCTGATGTAGTTGGACAACTTGGTAACAATACAGATGAATTGGATGCTCTTGCTGAAACTGCAATTGCACTTGCAAAGGTTAGTTTATTTGCTCCTATGGCACTTTTACTAACACATAAAAGTGGACTCTTACGACGACGTCTCTCTAACTATCTTATTGGTATAACGAATGATGCGAGTGCTGTTATTGCCTTATGGGATAGTCTCACACATGTGGTGTTTGGACTTGAAACGAAGGAAAAACCAAAGATATTATCATCTAATGCCATTACTGCACTTGTTATTGTTGCTTCAGCCCTTTTACGGCATACAGCTAAGACGGCGGTGTCGACAACCCTTTTTGAAATTGTTCTCTGTTGTGGACATGATCATATTCAAGGTGAAGATCCTTATTATTTTAATCATAATGGAACTTTATTAGGTCGTCATCGAACAAGTTCTAAATTGGTAAATTGGCAAGTATTTGAACGTCTCTTCAGTGGAGAACATAAACATCTCTTAACATTGCATACTGAAACTATTGCAGGAAAATTATGTGAAATTTTTAATAGTTCCATGCATTTAAGTACTGCCGCTAGTCGTGGATTAATACTTTTATTGGGTTTTATGAACACTCTCTCGTCATCACAACGGGCTTTTGAGAAACTTCTTAAGGTGACTAAAGAATCTGTGGATTATATGATCTCTCTGGATGCACGTGATCGTGCCATTGCAGCCTCTTCAGTCTCAGCACTTATGGATTACGAAAATCACGCACTTCGAGAACAACAACTTCTTAAAACGTATCCTAATAAACCACCTAAAGGAATGTCAGAAGATGATTATGAGGATATGAAACGAAAAGATGCTATTGCTCTTGAAAAAGGTCGTGAAGTGTTACGTAAAGAAATTGAAAAACGTTCTCGAGTTATTGAAGAAACTTTACGTCAGCATAAAACACCATTAGTAACTATTCGAACTCTTGGTACTTCTGGACGTTTTAAATTAGAAGGTATAGAAATATTATATCCTTATCTTCAATCTACACTTAATCGTGAAGATATTCCTGAAGTACTTGAATCTTATCTTGTAGATGCTATTAGTGGTTTACTCTCACGTACAGTTTTTGCTCCCATGATAGAAAATATGGCCCGTACTGTAGCTAAACTATACAATAAAGCCTCTCTTACTCCAGAGGATGTTTCACGAATTTCAACCATGGCATTACTTCTTCGTCAAGCAGTTACTCAAATGATTCCATCTCCTCTTTTTGTGGTGTTATTACCTTTTTCACAAGTTGCCTTTAAAGCAGGTCGTGGTGGAAATGCTGTGAAAACGACAATACCTGTGGCAACACAACATCAAATTATGGGAGTACTCTTGCAAAATCTTGGACAATCTCAGTTACCACAACCTACTGAAACATTACAACTTCTTACTACAATTCTACAAAGTTTTCCATCACTTTTTAAGAGTGTTCAGCAAGGTATTAACTTGCTTATGACTATGATTCCTGCTTCTCATCTTAATGCACTTGAATTTGGTCTTTTTAACAATGCTGATGCTGTAAAAGAAGTTACTGCTGCAGCTTATCACAGATTTTCTCACTTTTTAACTTGTCGACGAGCATTGGTTTTGGCAGCCATATGTCTTCATAATACATCTGGAGATGTGAGTAAATCTATGCGTCTTGTAACAGAGGACCCTAATTATGGTTTTTCACTAAATCCAAATGATTGGAATGATCTTATCTACTATTTAAAGAATTATGGTCAACAACAAAAATCTCATGCTACACAAATTGGTGAGGCGATGAAAGAACTCTTTGTTTTACCTTCTACTACAGAATCCCAACAACGATTATGGTTAGAGGATTTAAAGAATTTAGGAGGATTAGGTGCCGTTGTCGCTATCCAAGTATTATCTCCTTCTTTAAAAGGTGAAACCTTTCAGGATGCTTTATTATTTCTTTGTAGTATGGCAGAATCACCTTGTACAGAATCACTTATGCGACTTATATTAGCATGTGGAAGGATAGTTTTACATGATTGTTCATTGGAAACTCTTAAAAAAATGGCCCCAACACTTCAAGCACGTCTTTCTAAACCACCAAAAGATATAACCCCTGCTCATAAGGAGTTATATCTTGCTATTTCTACTGTATGGTTAACTATTATTAGTTGTCGTCTTAAGGAGACCGTATTATTAGAATCTATTATTGAACAACAAAGTAGTACATTAAATAATTCTAATTCTGCTATGGTACATCGTGTGGTATGTGAATCTATGGTTGAAATTACTCAAAATGATGATGTTCGTGCATCACCCAAGTTGGATGAATTTGTTGAAAAATGTTTAAAACAAACTATTCATTCTGGTTCTTATATTAAAAAGAAAGCACATGCCTATGGACTTGTAGGAGTTCTTCAAGGTTTAGGACTCCCTTCACTGCGAAGATATCACATTATGGAAACTATGCAAACAGCAATAAGAGAAAAACAAGCAGAACGATCTGGAGTCATGATATTGTTAGAAGTCATGTCAGAAGTGATGGGAGCTAAAATTGAGCCCTATGCACTTGCAATGTGTAGTGCATTACTTGAAGGGGTGGCTGATAAAGATCAGAAAGTATCCGAATGTGCAGATGATGCTTCTCGGGCGATGGTAAGTGCTCTTACAGGAGTAGGATTACGTCAATTAATTCCACGTCTTGTAGATGGTCTTTCAGCAGAACAGGCAAAAATGCGAGTTCCACCATTAAATTTTATTGGTTATGTCGCTTTTTGTTCACCTAAACAACTTGCCGCTACATTACCAGAAATTACAAAACATATTAATACTTGTTTATTTGATGTGAATCATAATGTCTCCGCGGCTGCTATGAATGCGTTAAGGCGTGTGGCTGGTGTTGTCTCAAACACAGAAATTCGAGAACATGTGGAAGTAATTCTTTCGGCTTTACGTTCTCCTAATACAGAGACAGAGAATGCATTGGATGCTTTACTTTATACACGTTTTGTGAATGCCGTAGATCCCGCTTCACTTGCACTTATTATCCCAATTCTTGCACGAGGTTTAAGTAATCAAATGCCACATACTCGTCCTAAGGCGGCACAAATTGTTGCATCTATGGTAAGTCTTGTAAATGATCCAAAATCCCTTAAACCATACTGTGAAGAACTCGTGAAATTACTTGAAGACGCTGCAGAAGATCCAAAAACAGAGTCTCGTACTACAAGTGCTAAGGCTATTGCTGCCCTCGCTGCTGCTATCGGTGGAAAAATAGTGGATGACATCGTCGCATGGTGTTTTACTACATTACAAAAACCTCACGTTAGTACTGTAGAGAAAGCAGGAGCTGCTCAAGTTTTTGTAGAAGTTGTAGAAAGTTGTGGTGATGCTGTTTTACATGATTCATTCCCTACTATAGAGGCAGGTATGATGGATGAACGACCACCTGTGAGAGAAGGTTTCTTACACATTATGGTGTATTCTCCTTCTACTTTTAATCCTACTACATTTCAAAGATTTTTACCTTTGGCATTTCCATGGGTTTTGGAAGGTCTTTCTCATTTCTCTGATCGAGTTCGTGATGTGGCATTGGCAGCAGGTTCAAGTATTATTAACCTCTACGGTACACGTAATCTTTCTTTGGTGCTTGATCCCTTGTTGGGTGGTGTTGTAAGTGAAGTGACAACTCTTCGTCAGAGTTCTATGTTACTTGCTTCAAAATTACTTATTCATTTGGTTCAGCAAATTCGTAAGAAAATGCGTATTCAAGCTGCTAAAGAAAGTGTTGCTGGAGATAGTGAAAGGGCAGAAGAATTGGAACAAGTACTGGAACAAGATGGGGAAACTGCTGAAGATGGAGAAGTAAATAATATGCTTCAAGTGGAAACTGCTAGAGATGTTGAAAAATCTGGTATTTCAATATTAGGTACTCTTGAGGAAGTTTTGGGTACAGATAACTTTGTACGACTCTTGGCAGCAATGTATTGTGGACGTCATGAACATAATCTTAATGTGCGAACTGAAACTAATAATGCATGGCAAGCATGTGTGGCAAGTATTCGTACAGCTGTTCATAAGATTTTCAGAGGTTTGGTGGATATTTTGGTATTATTTGCCTCTTCTGAAAGTTTAGATTGTGTGGAAATGGCAGTAAAGAGTATTGAATTTACATCTCGTTTAAGTGAGATGACAGAACCATTTGTTGATGCCTTATGTGATCGATATAAGGATGATAAACGCCGTAGTAAACTTGGTGCTCTTATTTGTCTTGCAAATATTGTGATTTATGTTGATTCACGACGTCTTATTAGTATGGGTGGTCAAATTGTTGGATGTGTATTGCCTGGTATGCAGGAGAAAGACACAAAAGTACAACAATGTGCACGTGAAGTTTTTGCAAAGGTATCCAAATCTGTTGGACCAAGGTTAATTGAAGACGCAATTGAAGCTCAAATTGAAACCTCTGTACGTGGTGTGGTAGAAGTAGTAAAGGTAAAACCAAGTGTTGCTCTTGATATTGTGTTTAAGTATCTTGCACGTCAAACTGAATATACACAAGGTAATCTTAATTTAATTGATGCTATTCTTGATGTGGAAGAGGCGGATGAACAAATGCGTAAATACGTAGAGGATATGAACCGAACACTCCTTGCCTTCTTGGTACAACGTATTGATGGGGCTAGTGAAACTTATCAAAAATATATTGAAAATCTTGATCGTGAATTTGAACATTTACCTATGGATCATTGGCAGAAGGCTTTATGTATGCCAGCTACACGTTATGGGGCATTACTTGCGGCAGAAGCATATGGTTTAGGTGTTTCTTTAGATTATATTGAAGGTATTGCCGCAGTATTCCGTGCAGCTATTGAATCACTTGGTAGTGATGATGAAGAATTACGTAGTCTTGCCGTATCTATGATACCACGTCTCATGGCATCACTGGAGCAACGTGTAGTTGCCTCTCTTGAAGAAGAAGAGCAAAAAGATCTTACAACAAGTAAACGAACTGCAGGAAGATATTTATTACAATACTTGGACGTTTTTCAAGAAACTATTGGTGTTACAGCACGTGCAGTCGTTACAGAGGAAGAACCAGAGTTTACTGTACTTGGAGAAGGACAACCTACACGATTATTTGATGCTCTTATGGCATTTTATAATAGAGGTCTTGACTATGGTACCTCTCTTCAGAAAATTCAATCAGTGGAATGTATTCAAGATTTGCTTCTTTATGCACCACGTACTGTAAGTGCAGGTGCAGCAAATACGGTTGCAGGACGTTGCTCAAAGGTATTATTTACTCGTAATGAAGGTACTGTGGTTCTCGCACTTGTTAAATTATGCTTGCAACTCATGAATTACCCTGCCAGTGGTAAAGAGAAAATGGTGGAAGGTACTATGGCTCTTGCTATGTTTAATGCTGCACTTTGCGACGCTGGTGAAGCACGTGTATTGGCATTACGTGTTGTTATTCAATTACTACAACGTTCGGAGAAGTATGCTGATCTTATTCTTGGAACTGTGGTAACCAAGAAATCGGCGGTAGATACACCTCTGCTTCGTGGTGTTATGTGCCGTTTTATATCGGTTGTTATGCGATATAGTAACTTTACCAAGGCCTTAACTCATATTACAAAATTAATGGATATTGTTCAGCCTATCTGGGAACGTGCTGAGACACCAGCGACTACGGCAGTTGCTGGTGTGGCTGTTGCAGCTCTGTGTAAGTCTGCGAGCATCACAGATGAACAATTTGCTGTACTGAAGGAAAAGGCTTTGACAATGATGTCCATGAAGAGCAGCGCTGTCCTTGGTGGTATCGCATTCGCATACTCTCTTCTCACAAGTTGTCCAGAGCGCGTCGATGCTGCCTTTGTTCGGGCGGCCACCAACAGCCTCCAAGCGGTGGCGGACTTTGGTGTGAGTGATAAGTTGAGCATCACGTGGATTCTGCGGGCGGCGGCCGCACTGCTGGGAAGTGGACTCCTCGACGCTGGCGTCTTCCGGCCGGAGGTGTACGTCCCGCTGCTGCGGCGGGTGGATGCGAACGACGAGATCATGATGAGCACCGCGCAGTATTACCACGACGTGCTCGCGGCGAAACTCCCGGCGGCGGCTGCGGCGGTGGCGAACCTCCCGCGCGAGGCGAGTGCGGCGTGGGGAGTTGTGGGGCACTTCGACGCCGACCTCGATGATGAGGTGGCCGCCGACACGGTATACTAACAGCGTATTTATATATATAAATAGGTGTCTGCATAGGTGTCTCTGTGAGTGAAGAAATGAAAGAAAGAAAGAAGGAATTAGAAATAAATGGAAGATAAAGAAACTTGAGGTGTTAATATAAGCTTAATAATAATAATAATAATAATAATAATAATAATAATAATAATAATAATAATAATAATAATAATAACTAAAAGAGACTGAATTGGGAAAACATATAATGGCCCACGGTCTGAGGAACATGCGCCAACTGTTAAAAGATTAAAACGAAAAAAAAAAAAAGAAAACCGTTGTGAAGGAGGGAGAGAGAAAATAAAATAAAATATACATATATTCCATGAATACTATTAATAATCTTATTTTTTGCGTTTTCTTCTTATTCTTCTTTTTTTTTTTTTTGGTCAAGAGGCCGCTACTTCCGAAGAGAAGGAAGGGACGGAAGAAGGGAAAGAAAGTAAGCGAGAAGAGAAGAGAAGAGAAGGGATAGGGGAAAAGAAGACAAAACAAAAAGAAGAGAATTAACAAGAAAACAAAAAACAAAAACAAAAAAAAAACACTTAAAGGATATACTGTAAAAGGTGAAAGCCCAAGATGCAGACTAATTTTCAATTGGCATCCGTACATGGGATGCTGTATACGGGAGGTAATGTTGTGTTTTCCCCAGATGGTCGCCAACTATTTTCACCAGTTAATAATTATATCTCTTCTATTCAATTGCAGCAAGAAGGTCATCGTTCACTTCCTTGTAGTAACAGTAATATTCAGTGTTTTGACCTATCTGCAGATGGAGATCTTCTTATTGCGATTGGTTCTCGTGGTCTTGGTTTCTTCTATGCCATATCTGCTGGTGTGGTATTGGATTCCATCGCTTTCCCACCTGATTGTGAAATTCGTTGTGTTAAATTTAGTCCTTGTGGCAAATATGTGGCGATTGCTCTTGAAAATACACTTCAAGTTTATACTACTCCAGCTAAACGTATTGTAGCATTTCATGGTTGTCATCGCATAGAGAACTTACATGCAGCACTGACGTTACCTATTACTAATATTGAATGGACATCAGACAGTGAACACATTTTGTTAAGTGGACAAGATGCCCGTATGAAAATTTATCCACGTCAAGGACGATTACAACACAAAGGAATGGCCATTCAACAGAATTCTCTGGTAGGACACCGTGCAGCAGTTCATGGTGCATGGTTTGCTGATGATGCATGCACTCGTGTGGTAAGCGTCTCAGCTGATAATGTTGTGATTACGTGGAAACGAACATCTGTAAGTCGTCGTGAAGTGTTAGAGGCTATTGCCACTGCACAACTCAACGCACGTGTAAATGCTAAAAAAGAGAATGACGAAGACGAAGAAGAGGAAGAAGAAGAACTTGAAGATGGTGGTGTTCCCAAGTCTTTTCTTGAAAAACAACGTCTGGAACAGCTTAAACTTGAAGGAGTTCGTGTTTCTGTTGCTGATGATATGTACCTTCCAGATATTCTTCGATATGCATTTGAAATTGAAAAGAAGCATCTTCTTACTCATAAAGGTAATGTTTCTGTTACAGCTTTCCATCGTCGTCGAGGACTTATATCTATTGGATATAATTCTGGTATTTTTGCAATTCACTCTTTGGCAACATCAGATGAAACAGAGTTAACTTTGGTACATTTACTTTCTATATCTGCACAATCTTTAACAGCAGCATCTTTCAGTCCTAGTGGAGATTTTGTTGCCTTTGGAAGCGCTCATTTGAAACAATTACTTGTTTGGGATTGGAAATCTGAAGCGTATGTTCTTAAAGATCAAGCCCACTATTATGATATTTCTCGTACAGCAATTACAGCAGATGCCAGCAGTATAATATCTGGTGGAGATGATGGTAAAGTAAAGGTTTGGAAAGCCTCTACAGGACAGTGTTATGTGACCTTTACAGAGCATACTGGTCCTATTACAGGTATTGCGACGAGTGCTGCAACTAATGCCTTCTTTACCTGCAGTCGAGATGGCACAGCACGAGGCTATGATCTTGTTCGTTATCGCCATTTTCGTGTTTACACCGTCCCTGAGCAGACACAACTCTCTTGTATTGCGGTAGACCCCTCTGGTGAGGTGTTGGCGGTGGGAAGTGGACAAACCGATCGTATCTATCTATTTGCTGTGCAGACTGGGAAAGTGATTGATCAACTGCAGGGACATGAGGCGCCTGTGGCCTGTCTTGCCTTCCACCCGAGCGGGACGGTGTTGGTCTCCGGCTCCCTCGACCACAATCTTGTGGTGTGGGATCTCTTCACCCGCGGCGATGGCGGGGAGCGGCTGAAGGGGGAGGCGGAGGTGCTCGACATTGGCGCGGAGGTCCTCTGCGTCGCCTTCAGCAGCAGCGGCCGCCGAATGGCACTGTTGACAATGAAACAGGAGATCTCCGTCTATGAAACGACAGTGCCAACGGAGCCAATCATCATTAAAACATTTCAAACAAGTTTTGATGCTGCAGGAGGGTGGAACAAAACGGTAGGACCACGAAGTTCAAATTATAATGCTCGATTTACCACTATTGCTTTTGCACCAGAAGGAGAGAAAATCATCGCCGGTGGAGAATCTAAATGGCTCGTCTTATACCACGCTACACAGGGATATATGCTTAAGAAATGGCCAGTCACAACTAATCTTGATGTACAAGGTGCAGAAGAACAATATCAATGGCGTCGCATAACAGAAGCAGGTCATATGGATGATATTGATGTGGATGATACTGATATTCATTTACGACGTGGAAAAATGTTGGAAATGCCAGGAAGTCGACATAAACATTTTGCAACAGGAAAACGACAAACTGCACTTACAGCTCGAACAATGCACCTAGCCTTTGCTTCTACAGGAACTGAATTTGTAGCAGCAACGACAGATGGTCTTCTTGTCTTTTCTACTCGTGTTGCACGACCTAAATTTCAACCGTTACAACTCAGTGCTAATATTACAATTCAGAAAGTACGTGAACAACTTTCTCATGGTGAACCTGTTATGGCTCTTGTTGGTGCATTAAATCTTGGTGATCGAATGCTTGGTATTGAATGTTTACGACGGATGCCACGAAATGCTATTCCAGTTGCTGTTTCTTCTGTTCCCTCACTTTTGTTCCCTCTCTTGGTACAATGGGTGAGTTCTGAGGTAGAGGAAAGTCGAGGACTCGAGCATTCACTTCTTTGGGCACAATCTCTCATGGTACATTCTAATGAGTGTGCAGGAAGTTTTGCCCAAGACCGAAGCGTTTTATTACCTGCACTGAAAGTTTTACAACGCAGTCTACAGCAGCAACGACCACTGACAGAACTAGCCAAGGAAAATTATTTTTCACTTCGATACATTATTGACATGACAAAAATGCAGAAGGACATCCTGCATCCAGATGTTGCCAGTGAATAATTATTTATAGGATCAGAAGTATGATGTTCTATTCATCGAGTAAAGAAAACATTTTTAATGAGTGTATTTGTGTGTTTGTGTGTGTGTGTGTGTGTGTTTTTTTCTCTCTCCGTGAGTCTTTAGAACAAAAAAAAAAAAAAGATAATAATAAATTGAGAGAAGAATAGGTGTCAAATAGTTTTTTTTTATTCTTTTCCTTTGTTGTTTCTCCGTTTAAGATTTGTATCTCTTTCAAGAGTATATAGATTGTGGAGTATGCAGAGAATGCTAACTCTAATTACCATGTTTAACATACTCATTTTATGTTTTTTTTTTTTTTTTTCTTCTTTTCTTCTTTGTTTGATTCTTTATTTTATTTTAGAAAAATGAAAAGCCATGGTGCTGAGGTGTCATCGCTTGTGAAGGAACTGCAGTCCTCTGTTGGAATCTCAACTCCTTCTGTCCCTATTCCGAGTGTTACATCAATGATGCGAAATGAATTTCTTCCTCTTATGCAGTCTCTTGAACAAAGTAGTGAGATTCTGTCTAAAACGTACGCATTAGAACTTGCCTTGACACTTGCTCGTTTTGATGCATTGTTAAAAGAGGAAGAACGACGTATTTTTGTTTGCGTATTTGATTCTCTTTCAAGGCATCTTCTTAAAGATTTACATCACTTTGTAGAAGTGGAGGGTCTTCTTCAACAAGATGTACTATTCTTAAAAGAATTAGCAGAACGGTGCCGCATGATTGATCATGTTTGTACCTGTCGTACACGTAATAATAATAATAGTAATAATAATAATAATAATAATAATAATAATAATAGTAGTATTGGTAACGTTAGTTCTAGTGGAGCTTTAAAAGAAAATACACGTTCAACATTAATTCCCTCATCTTCTTTACCCGATACTACTTCGCCTCGGGTAGTGGTAGATGGGAAAGGTCAACAGACGACACAAGATGTAGTAGATGGAGTTTCAGTAAATTGCTCTTTCTCTGAACTGCAGCAGGTATTTCATGGTAATGTAGGCAATAATCAGCAATTTGTGCAACCTATTGCAACCCCTTTGATGATGACTAGTGGGAGCGGAAACGTAAATACAAACGCAAATGAAGTTGTATCAAATCAATTTAATGATTCATTAACCCCAGCAAACCGTATGTTTCAACAACAATTGCCTCTAGGGACAATTCCATCACGGAATAACAATGGAAAACAGACGACTTCATGTCGACGAGAAGATTTTCTAGATTTTTTGATGGGTCGACTGTCAAAAAGTGATATTACATCCTTAGTCGATATAGTGTTTCCTCATGATAGCAGTTGTGAAAAAAATCAAACCCCTGTTAATAGCGATGAAAAGGTCACTTCTATGGGAAGTACCCAAACTAATAATACAAGTTTCCTTGCGGAAAACGGTAAAAACAATAGCAACGATAATCCCGTAAATCAATTTGGTAATAACCCTCAACCTATGGAAACTGTGACACCGATACACTTTTCACAGAAAGTAGATGATAGTGACTGTAATACACAAGTAAATGATGGATTTAAGACAGAAGAACAACAAGGGCGTTATTCCCTTTCTCCTTCCTCCACTGGAAGTCGTACAGTTAATCATACAGCTTTATATTTAAATATGTTGATAGAAACTCTTGTCTTTCCCAAGTCATCTGCAGCTCCTTCCCTAAACAGTTCCTTTGGTAGTGTTGAGGAAGTAGAAAGAAATGGCAGTTCTGTAGATGTTGTTACTAATGTTGTTGATCGTTGGCGTGGTGGAAATATACAACCCAGTGATTTGGGTGGAAGACTTCTTGAAGTACCATCTAAATCAGCACTGGGATTACTTTCCACTGTTTTTCCATCCCTTCATAACTTTACAGAGGAATTTAGAAAATTTGCTGAGATGGTAGCAGAAGAAGGATTTTATACTTCATCTTTTCGTGGTAGTGGTAGTGGTGGTGTTGGTGGAAATAGTACAGTTGATTCTCCAAGGGATAATTCCCGCCGCATGCAAGGTGTTTTTCCCCGATCTAAAGTTTCTGGTAATGGATTACCACTTAGGGACAATTATGGTGATGTGCCACATCTTAACATTACAGGTGCTTTAATGGCAGATGCTGGTGGAAGTATACGACCTGCTGATGTTGTCTTTTATGCTTTTATTCGTTCAATACAGGAATTGGAAAAAGATAGTGTAGTTGTGATTACTCCAAGGGGTGAGGTTCAGAAACGAACAAAAGAAACTATTTCTACTGAAGAAAGTACTACATTAAGAACAATGACTATTCCTCGTCAAATGGTGATGCAACTAGAATTAATGATAAAACAGGTACAAGAATCAATTGCTGGTATTCAGGTTATGCAAGAACAAATACGGGAGGAAGTTACTTTACTTGTTTTTCGTGTAATTACTACTATAGTAGATTTTCTTATTCCTGCTGTATATTTTGTGGACCGGCGTGTAGTTCTTTTCTATCGTAAATGGATGTGTGATATGTATCGTCTTCTTTGGGAAGAAGATCTTCTAGATCGATTTTCAGCTCTTGTAATGAATTCCATTCCAGAAGTACCTCATGAAATTTCAACAACAGCGATATCATTACCTCCTAACGCTCCAGTAAATACGCCACAAACACGTACAAGTGCTACTCCTCCTAATACTTCAATAACTCCAACACAAGGAAGAGTAAGTGTCGGTAGTAGCAGTAGTGGTGGAAGTAGAAGACGTTCTGGAGGAAAGTCTGGGTCTTCTGTGACAGTGACGAAGCGTACAGATACTCCTACCTTACCAGAAAAAGAGAAACCCAAAGTAGAAGTAGAGGAGACTACCAAAGAAAAAGAAAAAGAAAAGGAAAATAACATGGAAGTATATATTTCTCCAGGAAACGCCTACTCACGTGCTTCTCGTAATAGTGGAAATGGAAATGATTCACAGGCATTTTCAAATGCCGCGTCCGCACTTGTCTCATCTCTCTTCTTTTCTCAGGTGTCCGTTGCGGATGTTGATCCACACAGCTTTGGCTTCTTTGATGATCCGGCGGTGTTGCTGGCGGAATCGTTGTTGGAGGACACATCCACAGACACACCACCACCACGCGGAGTTCTCATCACGCGACTCATGGCGGCATTACTGCGCGGCACCAACACCGACAAACTACGTCGACTCGCATCTATGCAAGAACGTACTGTACGCAGCCGACCGAGAAAAGAACGATCACCGGAAATGCAACCCGTTGTACTGCGCAAGACGGCCTCTACACTGCGGGGCAGACGGCAGCCGCTGCGGAAGAAAAATACACCGTCGCCGCTGAAAGTCACACCAGCCGCACCAACTCCTCCTCCGCCTTTACCACCACCCATACAACCACTTGTAGGTACGGAATCTAAAACGGAGGCAACAGCAGCAGCAGCAGCACAACAACAACAACAACAACAACAACAACAACAACTGCGATTACGCTACCCTATAGTCACGAATGTTGATGAGGTGAAGGCATTGTATAATAGTGCACTTTCTGAGGCAGAAATATTACTATCACCCCTCGATCCTATTCGCGCCGCCCTCGTCCAAAATACGGTTGATTTTTTAGTCTCGGGTTTACATAATGTAACAGAGGCGTATGAAATTCTTGATGCCTACTTGGATGACGTTGGAGGTGAGCCAATTCAACCTCTCGTCACGGGACGTGTGGCACTTGACAGTAACTCAGATCACTCCAGAGGTGGTGTAGATGGGAGTGGCAGCAATAATCTTCATAGTGCCTTTAACCCACTCAATCCATCCGATTCGCCTTTTTCTGTTATTTCTGTTCGGCGTGCCAAAGCTATGCCTTCTGATACCATAGCATCATCAGGCACAACTGGGGTAAGAGGACATACTTCTCATGGGAGTCACACGATGTTATCAAAACGAAGCGCTCATGTGGATAAAGAAAATAGTTCCGCTGCTGTTATGGTTCTACCTTTGATACCAAAAGTTATTCCATCATGGAATTCAAAGGAGGAAAGTGAACAATTTTTCTTGATTCTTTCACTGCTACGACGCGAGTATATTTCTCTCCGAAACTCACTTGGTGTTGCAGCATTGGCTACTAAAACTGAAGCGAAGGAAACATCTATAAAGTAAAAGTAAATTTTTTTGTTTTTTTTTTAGTATTATTATTATTATTATTATTATTATTATTATTATTATTATTATTATTATTATTATTCTCCTTTGTGTGTATGTGTTTGTGTGTGTCTCTTTGCGTATTTGTCTGCATGTGAAGAAAAACAGTATTGATGCCCTAGTTGTGTGTTTTTATCTTTTTATTTTTATTTTTCCATGAGAGAATGACTGACCTTTTTGAGAGGGTGAAGTTGTTCTTGAACATGCACATTTAACTGATGTTGTTGTGTCACAAATTGCCGCTTTGACATTTTTTCTTATTATCATTTCCTTTTTTGCTTTTCTTTTCTTTTTCTTCTAAATAATTTATTGAAGTTCTTTTTTTTTTTATTTGTTTTAGTGCAGAGTGTTATACAATTCGTGAATACGAGAGTAGAATTTAACATCTAGGTAGTGAGCGTGAGAACGAGAGTTTATTTTCTTCAGGATATAGTTTACTTTCTTACAGTTTTTTTTTTTTTTTCTTTCTTTCTTTCCTTTTTCAGGGTGTGGGATTCCTACGCAGGTGGGAAAGGCACGCAAAAATCAACGGCACCACGCTGAAGTGTGTGTGTGTGTGTGGACTCTTTCTTTCTTTCTTTATTTCCTTTTTCTCTTTCTCTTATACTCTTTCTCTCCTTATTACCGAGCAGAAGAATTGAGGGAGTAAAAGAGTATAAGAGTAGAGGACCAAAGAGAGAGTTACTGTCTATTACACTTATCCGAACATTTTATCTGTGAAATAATGAGTGGAAGAAAGGATTTGCAATCTACAGCTGCGAAAAAGAAGGCAGAGCCTTATACTCCACAATCTGTTGGTGATAATGAACCAATTCCGTCAAACAGTTTTTTACTCCAACAGTTACTGTTGGATCTCGGGTTTACAGATACTGCCAAGACATTAGTACAGGAAACTCATCGCAAGCTGCAATTGTCTGTGAACTCACCCCATTCTCAAACCAATGTTGTGAGTGATGGAATGGACCCTTCAGATGTTGTTTCTACCAATAATCACAACAAAAATGGAAATAATTTTTTAAAAAAATCAAATGGCAACAATGAAAATGTTTCTAATACAGCTGTGATGGAAAAGGATGAGTTAGAAGGAAAAGAAGATATAATGCTAAAAAGAATGACGGGTATGACATTATTTCGTGCCTTGGCTCACCAAAGTGACAACAATGGTAATGGATTAAATGATAGTACAGGTATCTTGCAACATTTATGCAATATGTGCATTTCCACCATGTGTTGCAATACAGATTATCCTTGCTCTTCTGATGGAGAAGAATGCTTAACACCTCTCTTGCGTAAATTGTTCAACGTGCTTTTGGAAAATCAAGATGAAGCTATTGATAAAGGGGAAAAAAATAATGGGATACACTCATTTATTAATTTGCCTCCAGCATGGGTATCCCTCATGCAGGTTTTTTTTGCTTATGTGGAAGTCTTATGGTCACAGTTATACTTGGTGGAGGTAGTTTCATATGCGGATTTTCTCTTTAAGGGATGGGTTCGATACCGACCGTATATCTTAGAAAGACTTTCGAGGTTTCAGGAGAAGATTCAACGATTGCTTTTAGAAGCTCATCAACTTGAGCGTTTCACCAATAACTGTGAGAGATCCGATATATATTGCAACAAGAATAACAAAACCGAATCTGCAACACGAAATAAAGGTAAGAATGATTCTTCAACGTTACCGTCAATAAAATCATCTGTTCCATTCATTTCTGGTAGAAATGGGATCTCCATAACAACAACAGAAATAAATAAAGGTATTATTGGTATGTTCTGTCAAGGTGCTCCAACTTTTAGGAGGAATCTTGAAGAAGTATCAACGTGGATTTTAAATCAATGTGGTCGCTGTGTACAAAGTAATCTTGCAGATAGTAGTTTTGAGGCAAGAAACACAGAACCTATTTCCACTGTTGAGGATACAAGTGGAATATCTACGGGAGAGTCTAAAGAAATAGAAGAATCTTCTTCACAAAAATTATGGCATCAATGTATGGGAGCCGTACGTCAAGCCGTTCTCGTTACAAGTGAGAATGTGAAAGATCAAAAGGAGAATAAATGGGAATCATTACCATTGATTGATCCAAAACTTCATTGGACTCATGTAGCCCTACGTGTACAACTCCTCGCCTGGGTTCTTGGTTCTCTCGCAGAGTTTGCAGAAATTCTGCGAAAAGAGCTTTATCCATCTGATAAAAATGATAATGATGAAGAAGAAGAAGAAAATAATAATAATGATGATGAAGTAGAGAAGAATACAAAAAATCAATCCAATATAGGAAGTAATGAAGTACGACAGAAAGTTTCTCTTGAAGGTACTGTATTAGGATTTTGGTACCACAATTGTGCCTCGCAAATTGCAGAGAAGCTGAAAGTCACTGCAATGAAGATCAGTGATTCCTCTGCAGGTACTGCTGCTCATCATAATACTAGTGAAGGAGATGAGACTCTTCAGCGAAGACTACCACGTCATCATCGTGTAGAAGCGGTGAAAGAACAAGAAGAAATTGGACGATCTCTTGTTAATATTCTAAAGAGTGCTGTACATGAGTATTTTTTGGGTAATTCTGTATCAGTAGAACCATTTTCTTTTCAACTTCTTAATGATGGATTACTATATGATGAAGCCATAAACAGCAAATCATCTAAGAATGGATCTAATAGAAATTTACCACCAATACGAAAAATTAAAAATGAGAATGATGATGATTTTCGTATGTTCCTTATCGCTGCATTGGCCACTGGAAAACTTTCTCAGATGGAACAAAACTCTAAACCTCAACAAGTTGCATTTCATCACCTTCTTAAGCGAGCCTTTACTACACCAAAAGCTCTTCTCGATTTACAAGATGAATCTGTTCCTATGGATGTACAACTTAAAGCGTTGGAAAGAATAACAGCATACGCCGTTAGACGTGGAACACAAGGTAAAAATGGTGTGGTAAAAGGTCTTCCTCATCGAAAATGCAGTGAACGAAATCGAAATGGGGGAACTATAAATGAACCTACTACAGTTCGTACGCATGAAAATGATTCATCTGTTTTTGGAGAAGCTACCGGTATGGCTCCTCCAAGTCATACTCAATGTGTATCAGAAAATACAGGAATAGGTATTGATCTTCCTATTCCATTAGAGGAGACTGGAGAACCTATTGAATCTTTTTGGTTTGCACACTTTCAATCATTAGTACATCTTATGCTACGTCCAGCTGCTGAACTTATACAAGCAGAAGGAAGTTCTACATTTCCTCCTGTAGAAGAAGAAGAGGCAAGTTCATCTGAACATAATGTTGAACCTCCAGATAATGAAATGACAAATGAAATTCAAGTCGTTACGGTTACACCATGTGGATCATTATTGGCTTTATTAACTACAAAGGGTAGACTTCTTGTGTATACTATGCGTAATAAAAGAAATTCAACCCAATGCGATATTAATGAACATATTCAAGGATCTTTTTGTGAAGAATTAATTCTGGATACAAAATTTACTAAAAATGAAAAGGAACCACGTTGGTATGAACATTTATCTTCATTTCTTAGATTTTCACCATGCGGAAGATTTCTTCTTTGTTCAGTTCAAAATAATGCTGCTTCTTTAGGAAAAGAAGAAGAAGCTAATTCTCTTGCTAATGAATATACTGGAAAAGTATTTATTTATTCTATGCATTGTACAGATACAACGAAACATGAAAGTTCAAGAGAAATTAATAACGATGAGGATCGTCTTTATGCAGATTTTCGAATTCATACTGCACCTATAGTAGTTGCATCTTGGATGGATCCACGTTTTTGGGGACGTAAAATCTCTAAAAATATTCGTCCTCTTGATGAAAATAGTCCTGATTGGAAATGTGAGGCTTATAAACATTTATCTGTTTTACAATGTCTTTCATGTGGAACTGAAAATGTTATTCTTCGTTGGTCACCAGCCGATGGATCTATTATTCAGAAAATTGCCACAGTTCCATTACATGATATTTTGGTATCACCCTTAATGCAAGCCATTTATACTACCGATCAAAGAGGTCAGTTATCTATGTATGATGCTTGGAATGAACACAATATTGGATTTTCTGCAGGGAATTCTGTAGTGGTTTCTCATCGTGGACTCCCGGCTTCATTATCTATGATGCGTTCCTCTGCGGAGGCCCGCGAAGAAGGTTCACTTCCGAAGAGCACCGCACCTCTTTCTGATGGTGATATGCAACATGATTACTTTGTGGGAGCTCGTATTATTCGTTTTGATCGACGTCGTGTAACCCAATGTGGAGCTAAATGTGAACCGATGGCAACAGAGATATCTAAAGTAATGCAGGAAAAAGGACTTCCAGCAGGTATGGAGACAAGAGATAGTAGTCGTTTGGGTCGTCAAATTCTTCAGCAAGTTTTGGGAGAAGAAGAAGCTCGTTTTATTCCCTGTACACAAGCCATGTTGGATCCCTCATCCGCCTCTGATAATGAGGATAATAATGAGAATAGAGGGCATGATAATCATTCTTATCGTAATCAATCCGATACATACAGAGATGTTGAACCTTGTATAAATCCTATTCCTTTTGTAAGATCTCAACAAATGCATTCAGGAAGAAATGAATCTACATCTGTTTCAAATGATAATATTTCAATAGATGATGATAGCGTTTTTACTGGACAAGCTATTTTCTATAAAACAGGTTCTCGATTAGTGTTTGATGAAGTTTCTCAGATGTTGTGTCAAACAGCATGTTTATGGCCACCTGTTCCTGATCCTCAGTATGCACCACCACAGCAACCATGGAATTTACTTTCAATGTCTGTATCCGGTCAACCTATTTGGAATGAAGATTATGAAAAGAGTTTAATTTGTCATCATTGTCGTCTTCGAGATCGTATTGAAGGTAAATCCATATCATTATCTCTTTGTAATTACTATACAGATGCCAAAAAAGAGAAAAATGTTCGAGAATATAAAAAGTCAATGAATAACTTGAATGGTTCTAGTTTTGCAGGAGTAGGAAATTCTACAAAGAATTATAATTCAGTATGTACTTGTCGTCAATCGGGAAAACGAGTGGTATTATCACCAACTGCCAGTAATGGACGTTATTTGTGTATAATGGCTTCTGTTGGACCTAGCCGTGTGGCTCTTCATCGTAATCGTCCTCTTGAATATCATGCAGGAATGTACGCTTGTGTTGTATTTGATGTCCTTTATGGAAGTGTTGTGCGTGTTATTCCTGTTTGCTCCACATTACCTCATTCTTCCTTAATGGAAGATATTCATTCACATCCGCATTCAAATATTAGAAGAGTCCCTATTTTCATGTTACCCTGTTCTGTAGCTGTGGTTCGTCGCCCTCGTCGTCAGCAGCAAAAACAACGATCAGGGTCAACATTGGGAAGAAGAAGAAAAAGTAGTAAATCTCCACAGATGTATGGTTCTTTTGTACGTCACTTAGATCATGAGGATGAAGAATTAGAGGACAATAGTGACGATGATGATAATGATGATTATGATAATAATAATAATAATAATAATAATAATAATAATACAGTTGATGCCGATATGGATGGGGATGATTCAATGGTAGTTGTGGCTGTTGGTGCTCTTCATAGCAGAACATATACTTTTAACGCTCTTACAGGCTCTCGTATTAAAGTAATGAATTTGAGAAAACAGAAAGAACCATATAACAGGCGTGCTTCTGCTGAAGCTAGACCTCCTTCTAAACGTGCACGTCATCCATATCTTTCACTTGCGAAACCTGGTGTTTTCAGTAATCACCACTTCTTGGATGAGGATAGCATAAATACTGAAGATGCGAGAAATGAAGAAGATAGTGATATGAGTTCCAGTTCCATTGAAAGACAATCTTCAGAAAGTCGGGAACAATATGAATCTGAACGTCATGCTTTACTTCGACAGTTAGCTGATAAACATGGAATGAGTACTTTATTACGAGCTACTGTAGATCTTTTACGTGTTGTTCCTTTTCCTTTTTCACAATTTGATAAATTCAGAGGGAATGGGAATAGCACTCGACGTGTATGCGAAAAACAGTTGAGTTGTAATCGTCGAAGATCAATGGGTAGTACACATGTTGGATCAACGAACTCTCTTTCTATGCAATTGTCGTTAATTTCATGTCCTTCATTTCTTGGTCAACTACATCTTCGTAGTGGAGTATTTAATGGTTCTGATGTCCCATCAACAGTGAATCGACGAAATAAAGATGAAGCGACCATTTCTACAGATATCCGTCTTAACAATGTCCCGTTTGCCCTTGTCTCTTATCGCACATTACGTCATTTACTCACTACAGGTGTTTCTGTTTCTGGGCAAGAAACTAAAGGAGAAGCGACAGAAGGAACAACAGTAACGAGACCAGAAGGTGTGAACGCGCCTTCCGCCGCAGCCCCATCCCGTGAACGAACCTATTTTCGTTGTGGAGTGGTAAATAGTGTGGCATTGTGGTGTGATAATGAGAATGGAGGGGTATACGTGTTTTCAAGTGATGAATACGGTGGCCTCTTCGTGAGTGGAGGTTTGATTTCACTTGGTGAATGAAGTTGAATGCGATGAAGCGAGAATATCATTAGAAATGAAAGGCTGAGGAGTAAACAAAAAGAAGAAAAAAAAAGAAAAAAAAAACGATTACGTTCATATACTATCATTATTTCTTTTTAAGTTTTTTTTTTCACAGTTGGAGTAAAAAGGCATGGGTTTGTACACGTAGAGGGAGGTAGAGCGTGTTTCTCTTTAAAACAAAAGAAAAGATAGCAGACAAAATCTGATCGATGTACCTTAGTTATAGAGGTACTGTGTTTTCTGCTTTCTATAATTTCTTTTTTCTTTTGTTTTTCTTGAGGACGTTTTTTTTTTTTTTTTTTTTACTTTTTCTTGTTTTTTTTTTTCTCGCTCGGTGTATAGGGGAAATATTTCCTTTTCGTTTCGTTAAACGATGATGGTGTGGTGTTACCAAACCAGTAGAATTCCGCTATTTGACGTTGTTCTGCGTTATCTTTCATTTTTTTCTCTTGTTTAGGTGAATATTTTGTTGTTTTTTTTTTTTTTTTTTAAGTGTGGGGTGAGTGGGGAACGGAAAGTGCGTTAGATTACGAGTGAAATAGTGAGCTAAAGAAAAAAAATAAAAATAAAAGTGTGGAAAGAGGACAGAGACTTTCAGAGAATAAGTAGTTTTACAGAGGTATATAAGTGTGTGTGTGTGTGTGAAAGGGAATAAAAAAGGAAAGAGATCCATCTAAGCAAATGTAACATACAGAAGCGTTGTGAAGTTGTTTTTATTATTATTATTATTATTATTATTATTATTATTATT